ATTACGGGCACTGACTACAGCTGTGTTGACCCGAATTTTGGTAAGTGTTTTCCCACCTCCACCTCCCCTTCGTGTTGCACTGTTGTTGTTGTGGTGGCTTTGTTGTTCTTATGAATGACTGTTGTTTCGTTGTTGATGATATTATTATTATTATTATTATTAGTAGTAGTAGTAGTAGTAGTAGTTTTTTAGCTAAATTGTGGCTAAATTTACACATAATTGACAATAAATAACTTCGATAAGAAACACTTTATAATCCCAAAAGAGGAATTTCCACACAGGTAGCATCACGGTCAAGTTCAGCTTAGGTTCCCGTTTGTACAAGAATTTTTACTCCCGTCATGTTCCTCTACGCTTGAGTGGTCCCAGTACACAACACCGAGACATCATCTGCCTGACTTTCTAATAACAAAAAACTAATCTAATTGGTGGTGTAGTTCAATGTAATTTTCTCTTTTTAATTGATAATGTACTTGTGTAGTTATTAAATTTGATACGTGCTTATAGACTTGATTTGTTGAAGCGTGGTAATAAGTGTAACATCATGCCAAGAGGTCGGTTAGGCTCCGTGGCGTCCCTCAAAACACAACACGACACGACACACTCTGTAGCCTGAGTTGCTTTATTGTGTTTGTATGTGATGCTTGACTCCTTCCTTCATCTCGTAGGTTTATATAAACAGATAACATGAAGTTTATACACCTTAGTTTATTTCACTTCAAGATTAAATAACCTAACCTAACCTACCTGTCCTGTTTCACCTTACCTTATCCCACCCTACCCGACCCTCTCCTAACAGGTAGTAGGCAGCTATCAAACAGGGAGGTACTACCGCCTGGGAAGATATGTGACCAAGTCCCAGGTTGCTGATCTGACTTTCTGCCTCATTTACACACAATTGCAGGGTCTCAATTGTTTCTCTTACTCTTGACAACACAACATACTGTATATCGTTTCTCAATCGATTTATTTTTAATTTATTTATTATTATTATCATTATTATTAATATTATTATTGTTATTATTATCATTATCATTATTATTACATTTTCGCCCCCCAGGCCCTCATGTGGGTCAGTGACCTGTGCCCGGGTGGGCTAATACAGTAAAAGAAAACTCAGTGTCAGGTTGGTTAATCTTCACGTGAACTAAGCTGGGGTGTGTAATCTTCAGGAAGATATAAATAACTATTTATTCTAGTTATTTATTATGAATCTTTGTGTTTCATCTACAAAATCTTTAAGCACGTAGTTCTCCAAGTAGACAAGTGTAAGAGAGGGGGGGGGGGTCCATTCTTGTGTGTTTTTACTGAACCAGCGAATGTGTGTTCATAATCTTTTTATATATATATACAACACTTTTGTCTATTTTCTTTGTTACATGTAAATCTCTTGTCAGTTACGTAATATGAGAAAGTCAGAGAATTATCTTGAATCTATCTTGATAATGTACAATTCGTCACAACACACACGCACACACCTGGACGTGAGTTAATATGACAGGTGTTGCTAACTAAAAAATATCCTCACGAATTTCGTTCTTGACAATGGACGCCAGATGGCTTTTCTATGACTTTACACGTAATGTAAACAATAAGACCTGGTAAACTGAAGACAGCACGCAAGGTGAACTTCCCTCCCCCACACACAGACAGTTTAATAACACCACAACACGTATTATTGTTATTTAGTGATTATATTTTGTTACTTGAGGAAACAAAGAAAATGAACCTTTAAAATCTTACCACATTTCCTGTTGTAAATTACACTGATTATTTTTATCGTTTTAAATAGAAAATGAAAGTGTAGTGTTAAGGATTTGCTGTAATAAGGGATAGTGAATTTATACCCATTTTCTTTAAGTCAGTCAGTTAGCAGACAAAGAAAACGAACCCCAACCTTTCCAAATATTATCTTACGTTTTATAAATTCTATAATTGGATATTTTTCATATGTATTTTATCTTTTTAATAAGTTGTTCTTATCGTATTGTAAGTTAATATTAACCATCTGTACTGGAACTATTTTCCTCTGAATACTTTGTTATTTTGATGACAGTTGTATGTTACCGTACTTTACTGCATATTTAAATAAGTTGTTCAGTGAATTAAAATTGATTACTCACTCGTGAAAATAATATAGTGTCATATAATCTTAATTTTATTTTATATTGATCGAAAATAAAATAAAAGTACTTCTGGATAATATTTTTTCTCGCGCTTCTCTTTTGTTTAGTGACTCGACCAATCAGATACCGACTTACCGCCGGCACAAGTTATATTTACATTCTTATTTAATGTGTGGTGAAGATGACCACCACCACCACCACCACCTCTTAAAACTCGTCTTTAATGGTCAGAACAATAGAAGATAATCACACCGTCTTGGAAAGTGGGATGTTTGCTGATGTTTAGTTAGTTTTTATTATATTTCGTCATGGAGTTACCATTTATGCTTGCACTCTCTCTACGTCGTTTATAGACTTTAATTAAGTATATTTGTGAATCAATATTGACTTGTATGATGATTTTACGGAATATATATATATATATATATATATATATATATATATATATATATATATATATATATATATAATGTGTGTGTGTTTTACGAGGGTCAGTTGGCAGAGGAGATAAATTAACACGCCCTCGCGTGGGTGATGATTGCGGTCGACTGTGTGTTATGTCACTACTGGTGTTGGTTGCTGGTGACGACAGTGATTGATCAAGAACAGTTGACCAATAAGGTATGGTGGGAAGGTGTCAAGGTGGTGATGATGTGACACTTGTTTTACAACACACATTAACCACGACGAACCTCTGAGATTCTGGCTTCAAAATGTCACTTTTATCTCATCACGAATTTGAGTGAGGAAAATGCGCCCCACGACTTGTGGGTGTTTGACGATCTTACGTGTCTGTCTGTCTGTCTGTATTTCAAACGCACATTAAAAGACAGAAATGTTTTTAATTATTATTGTGTATAAGATTTATAAGTTTAAGTTATTGTGTTCTTTTCCTATAATTAAACTAAGCTTTCTGTAATATTTCAGTCATTTTATACCTTTGTTTCATAAAGCTTTTTGTATTTGTTATTCTGACCTTTCCTATAATTAAACTAAGCTTTCTGTAATATTTCAGTCATTTTATACCTTTGTTTCATAAAGCTTTTTGTATTTGTTATTCTGACCTTTCCTATAATTAAACTAAGCTTTCTGTATTTCATTTTATACCTTTCTCTCATTAAGCTATTTTGTATTTTAGTCATTTTATATATTTTTTAAACTAAGCTTTCTGTATTTTAGTTATTTTTCCCTTTCTTTTACTAAGCTTTCTATTTCTTAGTTCAGTTTTGATGAAGCTTGCGAGAAGTGCATTAGGTTAACACTGGTCGCGGCTTGTGTTAGAGGTGTGACCTTGGGTGTTCCTCTGGAGTGAGTGACCACGACACTCAGAATATCACCCGCACGTCATGGGTTGAAGGTCAGGGGGAGAGGCAGGCATGACACTCCCTTTAGTGGGGGTGGGTGGGGGTTAGTGTCATGGGTGTGTGGGGGGGGTGAGTGTGTTGTTATCATCACCTCATATTACCTCACACACCCACACTGGTCCCCCCACACGCCCACACTGGTCCCCTCCACACGCCCACACTGGTCCTCCCACACACCCACACTGGTCCCCCCACACACCCACACTTTTCCCCCACACAACCACACTTCCCCCCACACGCCCACACTTCCCCCCCAGCCCACGCCCACCTTCCCCCCCCGCCCACACTGAGACAGGGACACCGTGGGTACATCTATGTGTAATACGAGGTGAGACGGTGTTGGTCTACTGCCCTCAGGGCGACGGTTGGCGAGGTGGTCATCTTCCACCCACCTACCACCCCTCACCCACCCACCTACCACCCTCACCCACCTACCACCCACCTACCTACCCTCACCCACCCACCACCACCACCCTCACCACCCACCACCACCCACCCTCACCCACCATCACCACCCTCCCTTACACCCTATCCCACCCACCTACCACCCTCTTACCTACCACCCACCTACCACCCCTCCCCTTACACCTACCACCCCACCTACCACCCCTCCCTTACCTACCTTTTCATCCTCCCCACCTACCACCCTCCTCCACCTACCACCCTCCTCACCCCACCCTCATCCACCCTATCACCCACCACCCACCTCACCACCCTGGCCCATCACCCTCCTCCCACCACCTTCCTCCTCCACCCACCCTCCTCCTCCCACCACCCCTCCTCCTCCTCCCACCACCCTCCTCCTCCTCCCACCACCCTCCTCCTCCCTCCCACCACCCTCCTCCTCCTCACCACCCTCCTCCTCCTCCACCACCCTCCTCCTCACTCCACCACCTTCCTCCTCCACCCACCACCTTCCTCCTCCTCCACCACCCTTCCCCTCCCACCACCCTCTCCTCCCACCACCTTCCTCCTCCTCCTCCCTTCACCCACTCACCAAGGCGGAATATGAAATAAGGCCCATAAAACACCCATATATAGGATAGGGTAGGCTGTCTAGTGCCTGTACCGACAGACAATAACTAACCCATGACACAACCCTAACACACTATTAGCTTAGCTAGGCGGTCAGCCCGCCCTCTCTTACCTCCTCCTAAATTTCTTCATTTTCCGAACCATAACTTCCTTCCTCCACCTCTATTCTTCTTTCATCCCTCCTTTCTCAACAAAAAATAAAATAAAAAATAAAACACAGAACACAGACAGAGAACTACTGGGTGTGGGAGACGTGACCTACAACACCCACAGGTGTTCCCACAGTACCAGGTCACCTCTAGCACCCGTGTCTGTGTGCAAGTGCTGTCACGCCTCATTAGCTTAGGGTGGCTGGTATCAAGAGCAGGAGCACCAACACACACACGTTAATATCACTGTCATTCATTCAGTCTTAACTCATGTGAGAAATTAGATGAAGATTAGCTTCCCCAGCTTATTTCACCTGAAGATTAATAATAATAACGATAACCTAACCTAAAGTAACCTCCTCTTTCTTCTTACAATAATGTTTAGGCGTTCCTTGACTTTTGACCCCACACAATCCTTTAAAAACAGCAAAATAAAATAAATAAGAAAGAATATTTGAGCTTATTGATCCAAGGTTACTAGTCTGCCAAAGTTTCAAATTAATTGGGCCAACATTGTTCAACTTGTTTTCCCTATACAGTATACCGGAGTTAACTAGGTATACGGAATATACATAGAAAAACGCCATAATCTTTTTTTCCCTTTCAAATAATGTTTCTTGGTGAAGGATAAATTTAGGTTATTAGCAAATATGAATGGGAACTACTTAAGCATTTGTTTACATCGCCACAGGGAGACTGACTGCGCGCGTGTTGCTGTTATAGTCCAGACACAACGACACTAAAAGTTTAAAACTATTTTACGACAGCAGACAACACGAACCATAACATCTCCTAGACTCTCACTTATGTTTATTCTTCATTACTAAGTCGTGTGATGTGTGTGCTTTAGTGACTCGGCAATAATACCTGGGAAAGACTATACTGAACAATGTGTGGGTATTATGCATCTACCTTCATGTCAGTTCCGGTATATACTCAATAAGTTAAGTCAATATTCTTGTCACTTTGTAGTTTTCACGCTAAATAAACTCTTCCAATTTTAATAAGTACAAAACACCAATAATTCTAAAAATCATATAAAGAAATTGATTATTGTGAAAGAGACCTAGGGGTACTTGTAAGCCTGGACCTACGGCCTAGAAAACAGTGCGTTAATGTTCGAAATAAGGCAAACAGAGTATTGGGTTTTATATCTAGAAGTGTACGTAACATGAGTGCAGAGGTCTTATTGCAACTATATCTTGCGCTAGTTAGGCCGCACCTCGATTATGCGGTTCAGTTCTGGTGCCCTTATTATAGAATGGATATATATTCACTGGAGTCGGTGCAGCGAAGAATGACGAAAATGATTTCCGGGACTTAGAAACCTTCCATATCAGGATAGGTTAAAGAAACTAAACTTGTATTCCCTAGAAAGACGAAGAGTGCGGGGAGATATGATAGAGGTATTTAAGTGGGTGAAAGGAATCAATAAAGGGGATATAAATAAAGTTCTTATAATATCCGAGCAGGATAGGATTCGGAGCAACGGATTTAAGTTGGATAAGTTTAGGTTTAGGAGGGAGATAGGAAGAAACTGGTTCACAAATAGGGTGGTGGACGAGTGGAACAAGCTTAACAACTTTGTAGTAAGTGCTGGAACTCTGGAAAGTTTTAAAAGGAGGCTAGATAGATTCATGGATGATAGAGAGTGGTAGTAACTCTCGACAGGAGCTGCCATGCACAGACCAACCGACCTATTTTCTTATGTTTATGTTCTTATGTTCTGTTGTGCTGGGGATATTAACGGAATTAACACCAATAGATGTTAAACGGCAAATCACGCGAAACTAACGGAAGAACAGTAGCCGCCGCTGAGTCACATCACACACCTGTTGATTAAGAGACACTACAGTCAGTCAAGTGTAACAGTACAGCATTACGGTGTTAGTGAGCATGACAAAGCCCCTCTTCTCTCCCGTCCTACTTCCCCAGATTTAGTGAGCAGCAAAACAAAGGTTACAATTGATGCGTATTTGGTTTTTTTACCAGTCTCTTGTTAATTGCTTTAAATACTTTTTTATGTTGTTTTTATCAGGGTCGTGTTTTCAGTCAAGTATTATTAATTTTTATCATACAGTTGAGGTTATAAGATAAGTTTCATAATGATAAATTTTTAATCTGTAACTCGTAATGCGGAAGGAAGTGCTTGTACGAAGACGATTACGTTGAAAAAAAAATATTGAATTGAAACAGTTATAAAATAAGTAAACTCAAGAACGTGAGACACATCGTCAATATCTTTATTTTCAGTGTTTTTTAATGACCAGCCAGGATGGTGATTAAGTCGTATAGTTCTGTGATAATTACTAAAACAGCTTAGAGGAGAGAAAGTCAATAGACAGAAGGCCGGATGTACCTTGGAAAGTGTTGCCCTATATAATAGATTACTGTACGTTCATCAACACTGTGGGGTGAAGGCTACTACATAGAAATACTCAGTAAAATACGTTTGAATTTATTATTAGACAATATTTATTCTACTAATTCGTGAAATTTGTTTAATGGGATAGTTGTACGTGACGTCACACATCAGCTGACTTTTGTTTACGGTGAAATATTATTTTTGGTTTATCTTAAATTATTCATGAAATTATTATACTGATTTTCTATTGGAGTCGTAAACATGATAGAAAAATTAAGGGGATATTATTTATATTATTTCTTAACAACTTAATTATATGTTATATGTATAGTAAAAATAATTCGAATAAACTGGACCCCACCTTCACAAAACAAAGTTGAATAAACTCAGTGTATTAAAAATTATCACAATGTTATAATTTCTCGTTTGAATAAAATAAAAAGTGAAAATCATTTAATCAT